TTAATCAAAAATTTATGGACTATAAAAATTTTTTTTTAGTGATAAACTTATTTTACTCGTACCTTCAAAATTATTCATGATTTAAGTGAAATTGATGCTAATCTTGGACATTTTTCTCGATTTCCAGGTATTCTGAAAATTTCATCGACCATTTTTCATTTTTATATCGAGAAATCCCAATAAAGGTATGACAAAAAATTTTAAGCTTAAAAATTTTCGTAGTATAAATTTCTTCTTAAATATAAATACAATAAATTCTTATAACTCGAATTTGATATTAAAATTGTGTTTGTAATGCAAGAGATACAGAAAACTGAATGGAATGTTTTTCATAGAAAATTTTCTACAAAAAAAGCTATTCTATATTTTTTTCATATTCTTAATATTTCTCTCAGAAATTCAAACTTTCATAAATACAGCTAACTTTAATTTCCATACCATAGGTGTCTCAAAATTTTTCACCGTGTATTTATATAATTACACCTCATAAAAAAGTTTTTTAATCATATTACAATAACTTAATTACCAATTAAACTTCTCTATATCAAGTTACACCGTGAAAACCTAACAACCAAAAAACATAAAAAAGAAAAGCCGTGTTAATGCTCTTAAAACAAATGAAGAGCGAATTTTTGAAATAACACAACTTTTGTGTATTTAAAAAATAAAAATAAAAACCAAACAGCTTTAAATCATAAAATAAACGAGCGCAATATCCGATTAATTTCCCTGTAAGCAAAACTTGAAAACTTACCTTCGGCGTCGGGAAATTTGTCAAACGAGTAGAGAGACTGTAAGTCGTTTCTTTGTATTCGGTACTTGATAAAATTTTCCCTCCGGTTAGGTTGTCGTCCAAATCAAAAGGTACCTTTCTCTACTCGAACGATTCATTATAATGATTCGGACCCGTCGAAACGAGGAAAAATCAAATGGCATGCCGGGGAAGGCGCTAATTGGATCCTCGAACGACGTGAGAAGCAGTCTGCCAGTGCCAGCAAAGTGAAGCTAAAAGAGAAAGAGAAAAAGCAAATCAGAGCGGGCGAAAACAAGGAAAGAGCAAAATAGAGACCGATATAACCACCAGGCTTTCAACCTGTGCTGTTCTTGCTCCTTCTATTCCATTTGGGCATTATTACTCCCTTCCCCTTCCCCTTACCCTTCCCATACTCACATACTCACTCTCACCCTTATTCGCACTTACCAACACACATATAAATTTACATATAACGAAAGCACGAAACAGTTTCAGTTGGCACCTATTAACGCCGGAAATTGAAACGCATCTCCGGAGGGAATATGAAAGACAAATAGATAAAGAGAATAGGAACAAAGTGTGAATTCAATTTTCGTGTGTGTATACATACATATATATACATACATTCACACACAGATTCGGTCCTGTCCATTGTCCATACTCATACCCACACTCGTCTGTAATTAATATTTTTTTATTTAAAACAATTTTTTATTTTATTTTAGTTTTTAATTTATTCTCGTTAGCCACGCGAATGCGCTCACCAGACGAGATTAACTTTCCTAGTGGTCGAGCTCAATTTTCCGTCAGCCGTGTTCTACTTCGTCAGCCTGTGTGCGCAACCACCAGCACTCTCGGCATGTATACAACTCACCACACATATAGTGTGAAAGTCCTACCGCACTCATTTGCTCTCTCCTCACTACACTACATATACCATACACCCCAACCTTCACTAGATTCACCGGCACAGTCCTTTGTATGTTTTCTCATCACCGTGCATTACCACGTAAATACGTATATTTTCCATCTACCTCGTTTCCTTTTTATTTAATATTTAACTTTTATTTTTATACATACTCCACTTCTCTTGCTCTTCAAAAATCGACTCGACATCTCATGTTGCATAATACACTTCGTATTCTTTATCTTTGTTAATTATCTAATTTCAGCTATCATTAATTGCCATTATTTTGCTTTGACATGGCTGCAAGCTGATAAAGGAGAGTGTGCTCGAGCGAAAGATAGATATTTTTAATTAAAAAAAGTCTAATGAAAAAAAAGTCTGCTTTAAATCGGAATTTCAAACAAAAAATTCATTTTAAAAGTTATGATGAGTGGAGCAAAACTATATAACTTTATACCTTCCATTTTAATCGTACGAGTGTTGACTTTGATCTAGAGTGAGGAGGAAAAAATTATTTCAATATTCCCGTTCCGCTGGAATTAAAAATTCACGTCACATAATTAGACTCGACGGACGGCATTTGAAAAATCATAAAAAGATCCAGATGTAGGTTAGGATATTAATATTTGATTCTAGAAACAGTTTGCATGAAGAAAAAAAAATACTCATTTTACCCACTAAATAGCACTTTTTTATTTTTATTTTTTTTTTCTTTTAAATTAACGGACTAGATTTTTTTAATAATAATTTATTTTTTAAATAAAATCAAGGAATTATATTAGTATCATAATAAATTGTTATGATTTTATGAATTCGTAAATTTTTTTTATTAAAAAAAATTAATTTTTAGTGTTACAAAAAAACTTTTTGGATATTAAAAAAATATTCAAGCTTTCTACCTTAATTTTTCTACTTTTAGTTCTAGCTGCTGAATAATTTCCTAACGACCAATCTTAACTTAAACATTAACTGATTTTCAGTTAACCTTTTGACACCCTCGACATTTTTCCGAGTTAAAAAGTTGTGATATTTATAGAAGATGAAATTTAACCACATCGATATATTGAAATTTATATTCTCAGTTTGACTTTTTAGTAGCTTAAAATAATCTTTGAACGTGATTCTATTGGAACAATAAAATCAACTATTCTCTCGACTGTTACGTAAAACGGACGGATTCGATATAGATTTACGTTAACTACGACATTTCTAGATTTTACATTTAACGAATTCACTTCGCGCATTGAGTTATACCCGCTCTACCGATCGTTTCTCCTACAGTATAACCCCGTTGATTTTCACTTGGTCGCGACAATTTTTATCTTTTAGCTTTTTATTTGAACTTTTGTCCTCTTATACCGACTCCCGATCTTTTATTCTCATCATCTCGTCGAGATAAGCCATTACTGATTCAGCGTTTCGTTTGCCTCAAAGGAAAAAAAAGAAGTAGAACTCACGTATTTTTACATTGAGGTGCAGAGGTGCAGAGATATGCCAGCGCATAGTCATACAAATGAATGAGTGTTTTAACTCTCTAGCACTTTATCGACTACACCATGAATATGCACTCGTTAGTCTGCACCATTATTATTTATGTGCTTCTAGATAGATTTTAACGAAAAAAAAAAATCATTTACTTCTATGTCCTCAATAAAAATGGCACTTGATATCTGTACATCGATTACTGTATTTTAAAATGTTCATAATAAAAATTTAAAGTTCATAGTATCGATTTTAATGAAAATTTTCGTTTAATGTTAAATTTTTTTGTGATGAAAGTTTTTGAATTGGTAAAAAATCAATTAATTTATTTAAATAAAAGAAAAAATTCATCACATTGAAATTTTTCAAAATCAATTTCTGCACAATTGTTTTCTTTAATTTTCGGTGTAATTTTTTTTTCTTTTTAATATCAAAAGGTTATCCATTTTATTAATTTTTATTTTTTACAATATTCGAATGAATTTTTTCTCTAATGAATTTTTTGCATATCTTCAAAAATTGAGTGGCAATCCAATAAATAATTCAATATACTATAATAAAATTTTTATCCAATTTCGAAAAAATGTAAAGAATTTTTTTAACTAAAACCTTTTGATCATAAAATGAAATTCATTTAACCACCATCGAAAAATTCCTTCCAATAAAATTATATTTCTATAGAAAAAAAGAGTTATTATTTAATTTTCTTTTTCATTTCAAAATTAAACAAATAGTTACAAGAATAACCACACGGGAAAAAATTTCTGGGAAAATTTACGATACAACTATTGTAAAGCTGGACTATACCTTTATTACTATTAATTATCAAATATTTTAGAAGAAAAAATACTATTTATTAATGAAAAAATACGATATTACTATTGTAAAAAGTAAGAGATGAAAATTTCCAGTGCTGCCTCTGTATCTTTCCAATAGAACTATAGCAAATTTTACAATAGTTGAATTGGAATATCTCTCAATTAGTGTGAGTGATGGCCGTGCACAGCGCTAGACTCTGAGTTTTTATATAAATGTTAAAGGACATGAGTCTTAGTTTACCGCGGATAGCCTAAAGGGAGAGTCTCTGGCTACCAACACAAAGTTTTGGGTTCAGATAGCACGAAAATATTTGTTTCTTTTTTCGCTTACTGTACAGGTACCAATTTGTGCAACCTTCTATCTCTCTCCCTCCCTAATATTTCTTTTGAAAAAACCAACTGTGAATTTTTACAATAGTTGAATTGTAAAGTTCACAAACACATATTGTATAATTTGCTCTATAGTATTCGACTTTTTAAAACTCTTGTTAGTCTTATTTGTTGAATAAAATTTACAATAGTAGATCGTAAAAATTACTAAATGAGAAGTATAGTCCACCGTTACTATTTTATTTAGTAAAAATTACAATAGTAAAATAGTAATAACTCCTTCAATTTTCTTCCCGTGCAGCTCCAATAAATACACTAATTGATTTGAGACTTAACCTAAATATTTTATTACTATATAATTATATTTGCCCGAACTAAATTTATCTGTCGATACCAATTACACCATTGCCTCTCTCAGTGGATACATCTTTTAGATATACACGGTCTATTTCTGGTAATAACATTACATTGAATTCAAATAATTTATAACACTCGCAACTATGTATATATTCGAATTAAAAGCACCACTTTATACAATTATGAAATGTAAATTCATCAAAAGTTGTCATTAAATGAAAAAAAAAATATCGATATAATTTTGCTAGTTAATTTATCTTTGACGTTCGTATCAAAATCAAGCAGTTGAATGAACTACGTTGAATTTTTAACCACTTATAAATTTAATATTACATTTCAAAAATTTCAAGCATCAATTCATGAAACATTTCTCTCTATTTCCTGCTGAATAATTTATTGCTACTAAAATAATAAAACACTAAAAAATTGATGAAAATAAAACAAAAATTCCTCATTCCTCTTCGACAAATATTTGAAAATTAATTATAAAATAGATTCATTCCTCTTCATAGTTTTTTTGAACTTATATACATATAATCATCATGTATCTTATTTCTCAAAGATGATTTTATATATTGACGAAAAACATGCAAAAAATAAAAAAAAATTTTTTTGTTAAAAAAAAAATCGATTCATTTTTTTTTTTTTTTTTAATTTGTTTAAAGTCGCATAAACTACTAAGGTCATGAGCGACTACGGTAGGGGATAAACTTTTGAGATTGGAACTCGTTTGTATTTCTTGGGCTGAGCAGAATAATACACTTAAATATTGAAAATATTCATTGGTGTACGCCGGACTCGAACCCGGTCCAATGCTTTGGTAGCAAGGGCCGGATCCGATAGGCTACTGCGCGCCTTATTATTCATTTTTTATAAATTGTTATTTTTTTACTTTTGGTTATTCCCACATCATAATATGATTATTCGTAATTTTATCACGAGATTGTGTGAAATATTTGCACGGGTCGGTAATAACATGAATAATAGCGACTCTAAAAAAACTATTCTCTCTACCAAGAATGACAGTTCTAGTCGTAAATTTTCTTAACTTTTCCACAAATTGTCGACACCCGCACGAGCGCTCCAGCGATCAAGGTTCATTACCGATTTCCACAAACCAATGTGCAATCAACTCCGTCCTCACCGTCCAATTTATCTCCCGTCTCTCTCTCTACCCACAGCACTAGGGTGCAACTAACCCAAACCGTGTCGGTAGAATCGTTTAACTCGTGAATGAGAATATTTTTTAGCAAGAGAGCAAGCTGCGGGGCTCGTGAAATACCTGCCGAGAGCCGGGTAAAGGTAAAAAGTGATAAAAAAAATGTATAAAGTAAATAATGAAAGGGTGCGAAAGGTAAAAAGCTAAATATAAAATAAAATAAAATAAAATAAAATAAAATAAACCGTTAAATTTTATGGAGCGTTGCGAATGATGTTTCACTAACGATCAATTTTGACGATCCAACGAGTGCCCTCTTGATGACAAATCCAATCAACTTTATTTCACAATAACCTTTCGCCCCTTAATCATTGTTTAAATTATTAAATCATCCGTTTTATTTTTTGACATTATTAATGACTAAAGAAAAAAAAATTTTGCAGTTAATTGTAAAAAATGTTTATTTAACTTCCTCTAGTTTTTATTTATTTTTTTTTTTTTGTCGTACTTAAAGTTTAATGTAACGAATACATTTTCATAACGCATTTCGTTATTTACACTTTTTTCTTCAGACATTATATTGCTCCTTTATTTTCTCAGTCTTTTTTTCTCATTCCTCTTTACATCCTGTATCTTTTAGCATTATATTCCATTTTCCATAACATCCCGGTGCATAATAGTCTCAGGTGTGTATGCGCATAAAGAATACAAAAAATAACAACCCGTATTTTCTCAATTTTTTTTGTTCTCGTCTATATCTGATAACTCGTCATCTTCGTGTCAGTAACTGCGAGGTGAAAGCAGAAGATGGAAAACTTTTAGTATTTCATTTTCATTTTCACTCTTATTCTATGTATACCTTACGTGTTTTTTATCATTAAACTATCAATCCATTAATAATGAATTTATGGTGATACATCAGCGAGAATAAAGATTGAAAACGATATTCAATGCCGTTGCTGTTCGACTAAAAAGTATTGTAGCAAAGAAACAAAGAATAAAAGCTTGAGTAAAAAACGTAAAACTTGAATGACACATGGCCGAAGAAGTAAGCCAAAGGGGTTAACGTGAGTTGGAGGCGATAGGATAACTTTTTCGCCGTTTCTCTTCAACGGGATCCTCTTCACGAATTCGAGACGCGATAAGTGAGTTTTTGCCCTGGATACATAAAAAAATGAGATGAAGACGAAAGAAGAAAAGTGTAGTAGGTTCTGGGTTCTGGGTGAAAATGAGTAAAAAAAATGAAAACTAAAGAAAAAAAAATAGGAAAAATAAAACGACAACCCGAGCCGTGTTGGAGGTAAAGTAGGTCATTTTATCTGAAAAGCTTGACAGAAAGACAAATTGGTGGATTATATCTTTTTACTTAGAAGTGGACTGTCCACTTTTCTTATCAACTCACTTTCATTATTAATCCCGACACGACTTTATTAAGTTGAATGGTTATTAAAGGAAAAAAATAAAAAAGAGGAAAAGGTTTGCCGAAAAAAGCCTTTGGGGTTCCGGTATTATACATAATTGATGTATCATGTCTTTTTGTGGTAGAGGTAGAGGTATAGGTATAAAATAAAACAGTATTACACCGGTACTGGGTATAAGTTTGCGAGAAATCGATTCAGATTCTATTGAAGTCAATATAAAGACTTGTAAAAAAGTAAAACGAGTAGGAGGAAGCGAAATAAAGAAAGGAAAGCTTAAAGAGAAAAAATAAAGTACTCGCAAGTAGTAAATTGAATCTTGCTCGACTTTGTACCGAACGAATCGGATCGCTTCGCCCCCTCCCGCCCCTACTCGCCGGCACTGACGTTCAATTAAAATTTCCAGAGACGAAAAAAAGCTTGGAGCAATTCTCGGATCAGTTCGCTCACGCTCACCACCACTTCAAAACTTCCACGCTCAAGAATGTTGAGCTTTCCTCCGCTCCTTTTTGTGTCATTATTTCTATTTTTATCGTCTGCACCCTTTGTCTCTGCCTCTGTCTTTTTTTTCCCTGTCCGCTCTCACCGCAGAGTGTTAGACTCAAGACGACTAAATGCCGGTCTAGAAAATGTGAGACAGCTCGTGTTAAACTTTAAAAAAACCTGCCGTGCTCTTACTCTCCGAGATTAAAAATTTGCGGTTTGGATCTGGAAGGGACTGAGAGAAAAAAAAATCAAGTTGATTGGAAAGTTGACGAGCTCACACATTTTCCTAACTTTTCACCTAGATTTTTAGTTTTTTTCTGTTCATAGACAAATTGAAAAAATTTTTGAATCTTATTTATTTTGATATATTAACTTCACCTATTTAAATTACAGTAAAAGTGTATTTTATTATAATAGTTTCAAATTTACAGGGTATTTCAGGAGCTTATAACTTGTGTAAGCCTCTTTACATTGCCCAGATCTTAAGAATACATCAACCGTGTAATCTACTTTATGCACCGGACTTTGGTGGTCTAACTATCAATTTATAATGTTAGTACTTTTTTTTTTTGTTTGTAAGCTCACCTGTTATTTTTCATTTTATTGCTTGATAAATTTATTATTAAATTTTGTAATAGTAATTTAAAAACGACAGAACAGTACAAAGTATTTAATGCTGAAAATCCTTATCAATATTGAAGATAAAAAATATTGGTTGATTTTTTTCTTAAATTTTATCACAAATAGAATATTAAAAAAAAAAATTGTAATTTAATATTAACAAACCCTTTTATCAGTGTGATTTTACACAATATTTGACAGTTATCATTTTCAATTTTATTAACAACTCATAATTTTCAATAATTAACCATATGTCTTTTTTAATACCAGGCTTACATTTTTATCATTTGAAATTACATGTTATTCGGTAAAATAATACCCGGTAATGGTTATTTCAAAAACTTTATCTCTCGAATTCGCTGTAATGTATTTTTTAAAAATTAAATCCAAACACTAAAAACTCTTCCCGCGAGAAAAGGTACATTCTGAAGCAACTAAAATATAAAGACTACCATGAGCACGATCACGATCTCCAACATCCTGTCTTTGGATACTTAAAAAAAAAAACAGAGCAAAAGAATGAGAGCGTATCGAAATTGAAAAACTTGGCAATCGGTAGCAGTGATAGAGGATAGAACTAGAACTCACTTGTAAACTCGAACAATGTAACTTTATAGTAAAACAAACATGATGCGAGGAACTTTACCGAAGAATGTTTCTCGTAATAACAGGTTTAAATCAATTGAAAAGTCATAAACTTTCATCAGAGTCCCAACAATTGCCCATAAAATTAAGTTATTTGTTTTTGTGCTTCATGCTTGGTATTATCCATACACCGACGATTATTGGCATCTACATCGAGCATCGAACAAGTCACCAAGCAGACTATCATCAAACAAATTAATACTTTTCCAAAGTAAACTCCTATACACTTAACTTAAATCTAATTTTTTTTATTTCAACCGAATCCTCCTTCTTTCCGATACTTGTCTGTTCCCGGTTCCCGATCGGTAAAATCAACCAACCAACTGTGCTCCCGCTTTAAAAGAACCTTCGTGAATTGCCTCGTTCACGTTACGCTAATGCATTCCAAACTTTTCGATCTTCATCCGGCTTTTTTACCTTTTTATTTCTTTTCTATCGTGTTCCTTCCCTCCGGAGTTGAGTTCAAACTCTCTTACTCTTGCTCTTACTCTTACTCATTCCACCATTCCCTCCCCGGTATAAGTATTTCGAGTCCTTTTTCTTAAGATCCTCAACTTAAATTAACATGTCATGCTCGACGAGTGTTTTTACTCCGCATCCTGCATCAGACTTCCGAATATCGAGGACTTTTGACTCGATTAAATTTCATGAAATGTTATACGTGAGAGTAGTTAAACAATTTTGTTTCAATGTTTATTTAATATTTATCTTTGAGCTGACATGGAAAAAAATATTAATGTTTTTTTATAGAGAATCTCATTAAATTCATTTTAAAGTTTATTTGCATTCTAAAGTTTGAAATGTCGTTTTTCAAGTATTAATTAAATTCATGAAATGAAAAATATATGTTACAGAAAAAATATGAATAATTCAGGATAACATATATGTAAACATAACACATGTTTGCAATGGAAGAAAACTTTAGTTTTTTTTTTTTTATTTCGAATAATTTCTTCTTTTAAAATTTATGAAAAAAAAAAAAAAAAAAAAAAAACAGAAAATTTAATAATTTCTGTGTATATTTAGCTAGAGCTTTTGAAGTCACCTTATATGTAAATTTATATGTAAAGCTCACGGGAAGTTTTTTATCTGAAATATTTGTTGGTAAGAAAATTAAATTTTATTTAATTAAATTTATCTTGAATGTTTTAGCATAGATAAATTAATATTTTTTCTTGAGCTTGAGTGAAAAAAATTTAAATATTAAAGATAATTTTTAAAATATTTAATTAATATTAACAGAGATAAAAATCAACATTTGTCATAATAAAATAATCTTGGACAATTCGATGGAGAAGAATCTGAAAAAGTGGTGGAATAAAAGATGATGATAAGGAAGGAAAAGCAAAGAAAAAGACAGATATTAAAGTCGGGAAATGAAAATACGTGATCACGCAAGCTAAACATCATTATCTATGTTTCATAGAGAAAATAGAGGAAAGAAGAAGAATCGACGTGTGCATTGAGTCAAGTCACTGGAGAGAAACAAAATGACACCGAGAGCCCTGCTATATATACAATATTTGCCTATGGACTAT